CTCCTCCTCCTCCTCCTCCTCCTCCTCCTCCTGCGGTTATCGCCATCGGTTGGACGGTGCCCCCCGGGGGCGCGGGCAGGGGCCGCGGGGCGCCTGGGCGAGGCTCAGCACCCGGATGAAGTCGGCGAGGATGCTCTGGCGGCGGGGGCCGCCCGCCGCGGCCGCCGCCGCCGCCGCCGCCGCGCGGCAGCGGCGGGAGGCCAAAGAGTTACGTCGGGCGTGCACCCTTCCAGAAATACCCCCAAAATGTCTGGGGACGACCTTTCCATCATATTCCCTACCTAGGCTCTGCCTAGAAGGGTTCTTACTCTCTATCTCAAAGGGGCCGGCCGGGCAGTGTAAATCGCCCCGGGCGGTTCTGGGGACGATCTTTCGATCATATTTTTGGCACTTGTGGAGCATCCTCGGAATCTGCTTCATGCTTATTCCAGAGTCCGCCCGCAGGTGGACATGCCCGACCTAAGCCACGACGGCCCGCGTCTCGACAGGCACCATGGCAGAAGCTCCGCTGCCGCGCTCGGCGCCCTGTGGTCTCGATAGGGGCCCCGTTTTGTCCCGGACATCCGACAGCTTGACAACTAAGACAACGGTGTTTCGCCGCTTTGACGACGAACCTCCTCCTCCTCCTCCTCCTCCTCCTCCTCCTCCTCCTCCTCCTCCGGCCCCCAAATCGGCCCAAGAGGGCGCCAAGACGGCCCAAGAGGCGCCCAAGATGGCCCAAGAGGGCCTCAAGACGGCCCCAAGAGCGGGACCACGAACCGAAAAGTCTAGGAAGGCAAGATGAAGAACAGCTCGCACCGAGGCAGAGCAAGAATCTCCGACAGCTGGCGGCTCTGGAGGCGCCCTCACAGGGCGCCGGAACTGTCAACACACAGCTCTGGACGGAGAGCCCGCCCCAGGGAACGGGTCGGGATTCCCAGGGGCCCCCCGGATGCAAAGGCAGAGGCCAAGGCATCAGATCTCTGCGGGGGCCGCGTCGGGGCGCTGGTCCCCCCCCCCAGGCCTCAAGGGCCGTGGAGGATCGAAGGCCCCAGATCCCCTCGAGTCGGGTCTTCTGCGGCAAGGGTGGCGCCCGAAGAAGCGAGTGCGTACATGCACTGCCAGATCTGGAATCGATCGGGCGACGTGGCCCGCCATCGTGGCGTGCCTCCCACCATGGCGCCCCTCGTGGCCCCCAATCGGTGGGGGCGTCGTGGCCTCGGTAGGGCGTCGTAGCCTCAACATCACCATCCGCACTCGTATGAGAACTCGTAGCAACATTGTTAACCGTAGCAGTACTGGTGTGAATTTCAGGATTTGTATCCGTACTAGTTCTTACTCAATGCGGCGCCAATCTAGGTGGTGCAATATTTGCTGGGCAAAGCAATGCAAAACGATGCACACCAATGCAAACAATGTAACGCAATGCACAGCATTACGAATCACTGCAAAGCATTGGGATGCAAAGATAAGCAATGCAAAGCATACAACGCACTGCAGAGCAATGAAGAGCAATGAAGGGAAACGCATCGCAGTACGAAGCAATGCAAAGCAATGCAATGACTTGCAACACTTTGCACAACAATGCCATGCAATTCCGTTCAAAGAAATGCAAAGCAATGAGAAGAAATACAAACCACTGCAACGCAATGCATCACACAACAATGCGATGCACAACAATGAAAAGAAATGCAACGCAATGCAACGCAATGCAAAGCGATGTGAAGCAATGCGAAACAATGCGGAACAATGCAATGCGAAACAAAGCATGCACCGCAATTCCATGCGATGCCACGTAATGAAAAACAATATGCAACGCAACGCAGTGCACGGCAATGCAAAACAATGCAATGCCATGCAATGCCATTCGAAGCAGTGCAAACCAATGCAAAACAATGCAATGCAAATTAATGCAAAGTAACGCAAAGCACCACAAAGCAATGCAACATAATACAGTGCCACGCGTAGCAATGGACAGCAATACAAAGCATTGCAACGTGAAGATGTGCAAGGCGAAACGCTGCAACGCAACGCAATGCAAAACAAAGCCGTGCAATGCCATGCAAAGCAATGCAGAGCACTGCGAAGCACGGCAATACGATGCAAATCAGAGCAAGGCAACGCAATGCAAAGCTATGCACGGCAACGCAGAGCAACGCAGCACAATGCAACCCAACGCAAAGCAATGACAAATTGCAAAACAACGCGCCGAGAGTGGCGGCGACGGACGGCGGCCACGGGCGGCGACGGCGGCGACAGACGGCGGCGCCGGGCGGCCACAAGCTGGCCGTGGCAACACCGGGGCCCCCTTACGGCGGCGACGGACGGCTGCGACGGGCGGCCACAAGGCAGCTGGGGCGGCGCTGGGGCTCAGTTCGGGGAATTAGCATCCGTATCGCAATTTGCAGCACTAGTGGTGCTAGTAATGGTGGTGGTTAGAGCTAGCACTCGTGCAAGTATCACTACTAGCAGTAATTCGAGTAGAAGTACGAGTAGTGGTGGTCGTAGTTCGCAAGGCTCGCAATCTTAGGTATTGGTCGTCGTCGTAGTGGTGGTTGCAGCAGCTGTGGTAGAAGTAGAAGCAGCAGCAGCAGCAGGAGTAGTAGTAGTAGTAGTAGTAGTTGTAGTAGCAGCAGCAGCAACAGTAGTAGTAGTAGTAGTAGTAGTAGTAGTAGTAGTAGTAGTAGAAGAAGTAGATGTAGAAGTAGAAGTAGCAGTAGTAGTAGTAGTAGTAGTAGTAGTAGTCGTAGTAGTAGTAGTAGTAGTAGTAGTAGTAGTAGTCGTAGTAGTAGTAGTAGTAGTATTATAGTAGTAGTAGTAGAAGTAGAAGTAGTAGTAGTAATAGTAGTAGTAGTAGTAGTAGTAGTAGTAGTAGTAGTAGTAGTAGTAGTAGTAGTAGTAGTAGTAGTAGTAGTTAGTAGTAGTAGTAGTAGTAGTAGTAGTAGTAGTAGTAGTAGTAGTAGTAGTAGTAGTAGTAGTAGTAGTAGTAGTAGTAGTAGTAGTAGTAGTAGTAGTAGTCAGTAGTAGTAGTAGTAGTAGTAGTAGTAGTAGTAGTAGTAGTAGTAGTAGTAGTAGTAGTAGTAGTAGTAGTAGTAGTAGTAGTAGTAGTAGTAGTAGTAGTAGTAGTAGTACTAGTATAGTATAGTAGTAGTAGCCGCAGTAGTAGCAGTAGTAGAGTAGTAGTAGTAGTAGCATTAGTAGTAGTAGTAGTAGTAGTAGTAGCATCAGTAGTAGTAGTAGTAGTAGTAGTAGTAGTATAAGTAGTAGTCGTAGTAGTACTTAGCAGCAGTAGTAATAGCAGTCGTAGTCGTAGTAGTAGCAGCTGTGGGGTAGTAGTAGTAGTAGTAGTAGTAGTAGTAGTAGTAATAACAATAAGTGTGGCCGTAGTAGTAATAGTAGTAGTAGTAGTAGTAGTAGTAGTAGTAGTAGTAGTAGTAGTAGTAGTAGTAGTAGTAGTAGTAGTAGTAGTGGTAGTGGTAGTAGTAGTAGCAGTAGTAGTAGTAGTAGTAGTAGTAGTAGTAGTAATAGTAGTAGTAGTAGTAGTAGTAGTAGTAATGGTATTGGTGGTGGTAGTAGCCGTAGTAGTACTAGTACTAGTACTAGTACTAGTAGTAGTAGTAGCAGTAGTAGTAGTAGTAGTAGTAGTAGTAGTAGTCGTAGTAGTGGCAGTGATCGTAGTATGCATCGTACTGCGTGTTCTGATAAAAGAACACGGGTCGTATAAGTAGAAGTCGTGGCATCAAACATCGAAACACATAAGGATAAAGTCCAGGGAGTGGACTGCCTGGCCCTGTAGAAAGCTGTTTCGGGCATTCTCCCGGAAGGTGAGTTTTTGTTGATTAATCTCCCGGCAGCACCGACCGGATAAACACTTCTACGGCCTCGCTCATGAAATCAAAACCGCGGCGCCAAGGTCTCCACCCCAATGGCCAACCTACGTGCCCTCCGCGCTCAGTTATGAGGAAGAGCAAATTCTCATTCGCCGCAGCAAACTCAACCTTCAACGCGTCACAATGAGTGATGGGATCATCCCTGGCAGCCACGGCCAACAATGGCACGGCGACGTGTTTCCATTTCTCCCCATGGCCCAGGCTTTGATCTCTGTAGTAGTCCAACACCGACTTGTAGCCATTGTAGACAGCCGTAAACTCGATGTCAAAATCTACGATGCTAGCAACTTCTCTAGATAGCACGCGCTCGGTATTGACACCCCGTCGTCTTGCTTCTGGTACGAAGCGCTTCTCGAAAAAGTTTCGTTTTATCCCGTAAGCTAGGTATGCTTGCCAAGTCTTCATCGAATACTCAAACTTCATGTTGTAAGCCGAATCATACACGCCTGAAAATTGGACCGCTCCACATATGCGCGCATCGGGACCATAAATCCCGCAATAATTCGCAAGGATTATGCCCCCCATGGAAAAACCTGCGGCGAACAAGGGGGGACGGCTAAATCCTGGACCATGGCTCGTGCCGAGAACACCGTCGATCAACATAACAAGCTCGCGCAGGTCGGTCACTTGTGCTCCATGGAAGAGATGTGTATTCACATATGTGTCCATGGTTCCACGGGCAACGAGCACCACCACGGTCATCCCTCTACGATGGCTCAAATGGTAGGCAACGTCCGCGACGAATCCGCCGGTTGTCGTCCAATGCTGGGAAGGTGCCAAGCCTGTGAGAAGAAGCACGATGGGCTGATCAGGATCATGTCCTGAAGATGGGAACACCCAATCGCTTGCAAATCGTTCTCCATCCGATGCCTGCACCCAGATTCGCTCGTATTTCATACCGCGCATTCGATTTGGATTCCAGAAAAACGGCAACACTGTACAGAGCTCCCCACTTTTCAGATATGGGCATTGCCTCACACCCAACAGCCAGGCCTCAAAGGACTTGCGGATGCGAGAATTCCTTGTGGTACCACAGTGTGTCTCAAGGCAATGGAAGCCGGCACTTGTCGTCACGTCCAGAAAGGGCACTCCGCCTGGAACTCCAACGAGGCCGAGACTTGTAAGAACGCAACCTGCAACGAAAACAATTGCCATCCAAGCCGATGCGCTTTCCATAAACATCCAACGCGTCCCACCGATGCACAAGAGCCCAATCCCCAAACTCAGCACCACAAGAGAGCGAACAGCTGCACACAGCCAACCTGC